GGCGGAGACTCCAGCACTAGGTATAACAAAGTTGAGACTCTGCGGCATGGAGAAGTAACAAAAGTCACCGTGACTGCAAAACTCGCCCGTGATTGTAACCACGTAAGCAAAACGGACGACCATGATGAAAACACAGAAAAGAAGAGCTCGCGCCAGAATATTCCTGAAAAGGCTATGCTTCTTTTAGGTAATGGGTGGCTAAGCTTGCTATTGAAACCGGGTTGAGATTGAAGATCACCATGGTTAGGGGGAGCCAAAGAGTTGGTTCTAAGAAAGCGTTCGAAGATGGCCATTACTACGGACATGGAGATGATAATGGCGACAACAACAAAGCAAAAAAACACGGTATTGACATAGTTGTCAAAATGTTTCCAACGTTCTTCCTCTCCTTGTACATTCAATGGAGCTCCGACCGGTGGCCAACTAAAGAAGTGGCTTTCTTCTTTTGCCATTTCTACAACCAACATTATCAAAGTTTCTTGGAGTACTTAAACTGGTTAGGTTCATGGTACTTTGCGAGGGAGCAAAAGAAGGGAGTATGTTTGTTTATCTCGCTGTTTACCGAGTGAGGGGGACCATAACTATATGTTAGCTATCGCCTGGGCGGTGGCCATGGACGGTGGCGTTGCGAAATAAAGCGGGAATTGGATGCGTTGGAGAGAGAGAAGTTGAAATCCCTCTGCCTTTTTCATTTGTGTTTGTGTCGCGCCCCCTTTTGTTGTTATCTCCAACCAATTATATAACCCCAGCAGCCACTAAAAATAGGAAGTGTCCATCTCTCCCTCACCCCCCCCCCACAAAAGACGTGAGGTGAGTGCACAACCAATTCCGGGCGAATAGGAATGGTTGAGATACGTGGGATTGGAGTTAAATGGGTTGGAGTGCTGCTGGGTTTAATTTGTTGGGCTGCTGAATTGTGTCGGCTTGCACAAATATAATAATAATTAATTAATAATAATAATAATAATAATAAATAAAATATTTTCGTAAACCCAAATAAAAATAAATGTCTACATAAGTGGTTTCTCTTTGTCTAAGTTTTTTTTTTTTTTTTGAGAGAATAGGCGCATAGGCAGATTCCCGGATTGTCTTTCAGTAGCAAAGAGACTAATGTTTGTCATAGAATCCACACACTTGAAATAAAATAATTAGAAAAATGCTTATGGGGCTTGACCTTTTTCAAGGATCAATACAGAAAAGATTAAAGAAATATGGGGTTGTGTGTGTAATTGTAAGTTGGCCTGGTCTCACTTTTTGTCGTCACACACAATTCTTAGAAAAAGTTTATCACTGCAACAACAACAATCAACCAAAGGTCCAAAAGCCTATTACATTGAGATTGCAGAAAAATCCAGAAGCCTAGTCTATAAACAAATGTGGTTTAGAGAAAAAAGAAAGGATATTCTAATATGATTGAACTTCAGGAATCATGATGACTTAGATTAACTAAAACTTTTGGCTCATCAATCAATTTGGTGCTGCTATTATCTATAAAGACAGATTAATATGAGATAATAAGCATTAATGCATATGAGATTGTAAAACTATTAACATAATCTGGGTATTTAACTTCATCATCATCTGTTTATATTATTCTTCACCTCCCCTTAGCCCATTACATATGGGAATAGCGTTAGCTAATTTGAATCTATGATATTTTAAACTTCACAAACGAAGGGTTGAAAATTTTGCAGTCCTTGTAAATAATAAACAAATGAAACCTCTATTTTATTTTATTATCCAGATTTTTATATAAGTCAAGATCATGGAGTAGCTTCTCAATGACAAAGATACGACATTACCAAGAAAACATGGTATCTTATACTATTTGGTTTTTAGAGTAAGTGAAGAGAATCTTTTATTTTTTTTCAAATGAAACTGACAGACATACTTCATATAGATCAATGAAACAATGTTGTATTAACGATATTCTTCAATTGAAGATTACGAAAATCAACATAAGTTGTCAGTTTATAAGCACAAGATGAGGGTTAGATTACCTAGGTCTCTCCAGAGTTTTTGAATCAAGTTTATATTACATCAATAATAGCCAAGATTTATTTCAAATTCATTTACTAAAATATTCAACTCAAGTGATCAAAGTAGACAAATTAGAAATGAAAACAAAATATGTATAATTTTAAAGGAAGCTTGGAAAATTCAGGAACCAGATTCTAAGGGCTCTGCTATTAGGTATTTCTTTGTTCTTTCTGCTACCATCGTTGTTTGTTTCATGTAGAAACAAGACTACAACTCAATCTGTCCTGTTATAAAATGTTTTTCATATATAGCTTAAGACAAAATCTATAACCAAATTGATCTTTCGTCTTTTCATTTTACTTTTTCGTATCTACGTTTGATGTTCTTGTTTAACAGGTATTCGAACATGAGTATAAAGATATAGACGTCTAAATACATGAAATAATTTTTTTCTTGGTTCCTACAAAATTATTCATGTTTCTTTACTTGCAATGACAGTATTTTTCTCTCTTTCTCTTTTCCAAAACATATAAACCCATATACTTATGATTCAGAACATAAATGGCAGTGAGTCTCCAAGCATCTTTCAAGCTTCAAAGAGTGGTGGGTGGGGTGGGGGGGACTAAAACACAGAGCCTTGAGTCTTGAGTTGGCCAAACAAACCCACAAATTTACCGTAAAAATTAAAAAAAAAACAACCATTAATTTGACTAATGAAGAGAGAGAAACAAAGAGGGTTAGCAATTAGCATAAAGAAGTAAGCAATTTGGCATTGCATGTTAAGTGGTGGGGAAATGGGTGGCTAATGAGCTTATGGGGCAAATGGGGGTAGTTACAAAGGTGTGACGGAAAAATGAACTTTCCAAAGACATTAGGACAAGCGAGTGAATGCCAATCATAACCAGCAAAAGGCATCTCTCCTTTCCCCATTTCTGTCCCCACTCCCATCTCTCTTTCATATGGATCCTATAGGGATCAAAGGATATAAAATGTAGTTTTAACAATATTTTTGATATAATATATGTTATCTCCATCAATTTTCATATGACGATGAACATCAATTAACAAAAACGATCAAATTAACGATTAGAACTTCGCTTTGAGCTACTATTTTTAATCCTTGATGAAGGCTTATCAATATCCACCAACTTGCAACATGTCCTGATTTCCTGACAGATAAATCATTTTCAGGCCTCAGGGCCTTATTATTTCTGTGTTGTCATGGTCCTAATCACCCATAATGGTATGCAATGCAGTGTAAACTGTAAATAAAGAACATTTAGGCAATGAAATGCCATTTAAAATATTTAACCTAGAGGTTGGTTTTCTTTCTTGAATTTTCTCAGTGTACCGAATCATCTGCTTCCGAGTTCAAACAAATACAAAGAAGCAGTGTACCATCGTCAAGGTCCACAAACAGGACTTTTTTTTAGCCTATATTGTACTTGTCATGTTCTGAAACATGTCTCAAAGACTAAGAAAGGACTAAAAATCACGTCTTCACCGGAAAAAGAAGAAGGAATAATCCTATGGTAAAAGAGAAATGGGGTTATGTCAAAAAAGAACATGTGAAAGTTAACAGCCATTGCCAGCAGCAGTACACATTTCAGCAGATTGAAGAATTCTGAGAAAAGCTAACGTACCTTTTCTTGAAGAGGGAAATGAGAAAGGGCGACAACCTGGTAGGCTGCTAAATTTGCTTTACGAAAAACTCTTCTTTCCCAATAATCATCCAAAGGAAGGGAAAAAGAGAAGAAGCAAGACTTTTTCTTTTTCTCTTTTCTACTACTTTTAAAGTGCAAGTAAATGCTTTGTTATTACAAGTTACATTAATGTAAAGAAATCCAGAAACATTTATTTTGAAAACCCATATCAGATCTATTTTGAAGCATTACTTGTTTCAATAATTTTGATATAAAAAATGGTAAAACAATAAAAATAAAATCTAGTGTGACTTTCAACTCTTTTTAAGCAGATTTTCTTTTTGAAACTTTTTGTCCTCAAAGGAAGATAATAGAATAAAGGGGGCTCCAGAAAGCAATAGAAAAATGGTATGGGGACAAAGGCAAAGAAGGGTAGAGAGCAGGTAAACACAAAGGTGATGGAATATACCCACCTTCACCTTTCTTAATTTTGACATCTCATGATTCGTTCAATTGTGAAAAGAAACTAGAAAAAACATAAATTTGCATCCTCTGGATCTTGATTTCTATTAATGAATATGTTTTGGTTGTACCAAATCCTAAAAATTAGATACATTGATCATTCAACTAATATATGAAATCTGAGGCGTAGATCTATTTATCTCAGTAACTTTTTTAGCATAAATTGAATCAATCCAAAAATATGTTGAAAACCTGAAATCAAGCCACAAAGTTTAGTCCTTTCGAGCATTGAAATCTTAGATAATTTACACTAGCATAAACTGATTTTTTTTATTTTTTTAACAAATATAATGATATATTCAAAAGAACTATAAGTACGATGTGTGAACATTTGTGATAACTTGTGACTCCTTTTATGTGTCTTGAATTTTTTTTCTTCATTGGGCTGATGTTTTAAGACTCCGAAGATTCTTTTAACAGGCCTTGGAATTCAGTAGAAAGGACCTGGCCTTGTTTTCTATTTTGATAATTTTCCTTGTAATTATTTACATATCTTTTCAGAGTTTGCAACTTGGATGTACCTGTTCCCGTTCAACATGCCGACCTGAGACGTGATCAACTTTTATCGCTTCGATAGTGATCATGAAGATGCAAGAGACATATATGGGAAACCCATGCGCGGCAGATTTCCACGAAAGTTGAATTATCTTGGAGGTACTGTAATTCTTTTCTCTGTCAACAATAGGCTTACCAGGTTTCACTTTGATTTACAGAAATCTGCTCTCACCTTACGTTTGCTTTTATGCTTCTGCTGAGTAGGCTGTATGATCTGATATCAGGTATGATAGAGACAGTTGCAAGTACATGTTTAAAGTTGATTCTCATATCAATGATATGAGCCGATTGATTGAAGGACAATCAGAAATATGGTAATGTTTATCGGTTCATTAGCAAAATTCTAGCAGTTCCTAAGATGACTGAAGTGTGTTGGTATGGTATATGGTAGATTTTTTCAGAACTGCATTTCCCCTTTCTGAATCACAAAGAACACAAACGGAAGCCCGTAACTGAAACCCACTAAGCTTGCCATTCCTGTTTTGACAAATTTAATCAGAAAACACTAATTAACACACTTTATTTCATCTCAAACATTCAACCCCGAAAGTTGAAAGTTCATAAAGCAAAGCAAATGGAAACAAAACTGGTTCTAGTGTCTCACCATATGCAACAGCTTTCCCATCTTCCCTCTTCTTTCCTGGCTTGTGATCGTTCGGTTCTGATAAAGATAACAAATGCAAAATCATGGAGATGATAACCAACAAACTTCCAGTTTTCTCCCTAACAACTCTCTGGGTCAAATCTAATGACCAGAATCCAGCTATCATACTTACAAAATCTTCAACCACAACCTTAAGAAACAAGACCACTCCAAGGCACAGTGCTACTTTTGCAATATGTTTGATTGATCCTTTTGGGGAGATTCTCCAATTTAGCAGATTAACAATACAAGCACAAGAATACAGGGGAAACCAGAAGTACCAATCTATGCCAATTAAAAGAAAAGGAAGAAATAATCATGTATTAAAATAAAAACCCAATATTATTAAACAGAAAAACAATAATCAGGAAGTATGGTACCAGGGTCATTTAACTGAACAGATGAAGACAAACCAAACATGATTGCCATTAACAGAGAGCAGCAGCTGAATAGCTTTCTGGGTTTCGCCATTCTCTGGATCTGAATACCGAAACAAAGTTAACTCTATGCTTTGTGTATACAGATAAAGATGATATGCAACCTATTACTATAGTCAACGCTTTCAGGTAGCTGAGCTTAATTATTTATTTATATTTTTTCATCATTCAATGCACCAGCAACATTTTGTAGTAATATATAATATTAATAAAATTGCTTTATTTTCTCTGCAAATCACATTCTTTTTGAGGGCATGGTTTTTTGGGCATACAATCATCTTGCATACACAAACCTGTTTTATAATTTTTCCCTTATGAGATAAATGAATCAGTAGTATGTTATTTATATTCTTTAATTAATTTATTCATTCATTTTTCAAAAACCTACATATTGAAAAATCCTTACACACGTGTAATACAAATGTCACTTAAATATATAATATATTGTAATAAGTAGAGCTTTTGAAGGAACGAGAAAGCAGCATCTCCAAGTTTTTCCACATGCTAAAAAAGAAACAAGGCCGGTACCATGAGCACACGGACAGTGTGTGATTAGGGGTGCTAATTGAGTTGTGCAGTTTGTTAGTACTTCGACTCGATTAAAATTCAATTTGAATTTGAGTTCGACTTGAGATTTAAATGAGTTGAGTCGAACAATGTCTAACTCGATTTAATAATTTCGCGAGTAGCTCGTTAATATTTTTTATACATTATTTTAAGATTAATTATGTATTGTTAAACTTTATTTTTAAAGAATGGGTTTAATATATTAGTTTGATGTATTTTTGGATTATTAATATTGAGTTTAGACTTTAAAATTATTTCTCATACTATTTTAAATTTTATTTATTTATGTTTATATTAAGCTTCTCATAGTATTACTAGATTTTAATATATTTTAAAAAAAATACAAATTTTGACAAACTTAATAAATAACGAGTCAAATCAAGTATGAGTCGAATAATTTTCTAGTCGAGTACTGTTGAATTGACGATCAATTCACTCGATAAATACCCCTAAATGTGACAAAATCGAAAATTCAGCACAGACATAGTAGGCAACTTAACCGACTCTACTTGAGACATTTACATATAAGGTTCCCAACTCCATGTTTCAACATGTTGGTCAGAATGCTTTTAATCCAAGATTAAAAGCTGTAAAGGACAGGGGAGTTAAAGGCTACTGTAATCTCCATCAGCAGTCCAGCGGGGACGACGATGCATGATTAAAATGAGCGGTAAAAGTGGGCCAAATTTCCAGCCACCCATTCCATCTTTGCTAATGATTCTTAGTTATATTTTTTTACATCATTGCTGAGCATTCCATTATTGCATTAAGGCAGAGCTTTTCTAAAAAATAGGTAAAGGAGAGATAGATGAGAAAAACCCAAAGTCAAAAAGAGACTTTGGATATAACTAATTTCATCATCTTCTATGAAAAAGTGCCGCATGCAATACTCCTTTTTTTATTATTTTAATAAAGCAAGGAGATTTTCATGTTCCATTGAATCAAGATGTCTCTTTCATTATTAGTATTATTATTATTTCCTAATGACAGATGGGTCCATAATGAAACTTTTGTTGAGATCTGAATTTATGGCAAATCAGAGAGTGCAAAGAGATACATTAAAGGGGATCAAGGAAATGATGGATTATCTAACACTTTGTGAAGTTGAATTAAGAAAATGGTTTATTAGAATCCAAGTAATTTGCCAGTGTGATGGGATATTAAAGATATTAATTTGTTTCCTTTCTAGTTTGATTTTAACCTTCTGAGGTCTTATTGATATATCAAGTAATAGTTAGTGTATGACTTCAATAGCATTTATGATTCACTCGCATCTAAATATTAGATGTTAAAGTGGGGTGAACACAGATTCATATAAATAAATAACCTTGCAATTAATTAGTCGTTTGACTCACCCCCACCATTATAAATGAAAACAATGCTCAGTCCCGAATCGAAAATCCAGCAGCGTCTCATAAAAGCAACAACCCAAGACAGAAAAGAACCCAGAATATTTATGGGGTTTGGCAAAATATTTTCTTTAAAAAAAAGAAAAGAAAAATGGTGAGAGACATTTAAAAAATGAAGCTTGGCTGATTATAATAGGACTAGGAAAGTGTTTTTAGAACAAAAGAAAGAATATTCAGAGTGGCAAAGGCATGCAGTGGTAAAACAACAGTTGTCGAAAGCATAGATGAGACAGAAACAGTAGTAAAGTAAAAACGAACCAAACCGCAATGTATCAACTTCTTTTGGTGTTTTAATTTATTTTTGCTTTAGCTGTTGTGGGTCTCTATTTCCCCTGCGCAAAAAAGATTTAAAGTGCGACGCTTTACTCGTTATCATGGCCCGGGCATAGTCTGAGATGAATGGATCCCTTTATGCTTAGGTCATTTCCGCCCTTTTTCTACTCTAGCGTATTTTTATCCCTATTTTAAAGATGAAACAATAATTTATCTCTAATGCTATCTCTACATTACCACAAACTCTATTTTATTCACAATATTTAACTATTATAATATTGATTTTGTAAATATAAAATAAAATATATACATTTCTAAAAAATATCAAGATAAAAAATATAAATAAAACATCTATAAATAACATTATAAAAATACAAATAAATAAAAAAATTACAATTAATAATAATAATGCGAAAAATATAAGTTACATAATTATTTATTTTAATTCTCCGAATTAATATATTCATTCCCCAAATACTCAATTAGTATATTTCATAGAGCAAAATTAATTAGGTTATTCATCTAATTTTAATATATTTTATCTATCTTATAATTTAATTTACTTAAATATATTATATTATGTTTAATATAATAAAATAAAATAAAAAAACTAAAACAAAATTTTTTCAGCGTTGCTACAGTAACACGCTAGATGTAGCGTTATACTGTAGCGATCTTCAAAGTAGAGTAGCAAAGTGGCGCAGCGTTGAAGCAATAAAAGTGTAATTCAACTCCACTCCAGGGCAGCGCTGGAGTTGGCCTTAACACCAGAGCTTTCAATCAATCATTCTAAGGCACCCACTGGCTTACAAATAAGAGACTGAGAGATGGGTTTTTGGAGGAGGTACCAGGTTACACATTAACACAAGTCTTCCTTTTCCTCAGGTTTTTGTGTTTGGAAGTTTTCAAGATTCTCTTTGCTGGGTATAACAAGTACTATTCTTTTATGCCTGTTTCAAGTTTATTTCCAGATTCCCCTTTTTCTCGCTGGGATTTTTTATATGTAGTGAGAAATAGGAGAATCTCTGAAGAGTTTGCTTTGTTTTTTTGATCTCTTTCTTTCCCCGACTTTCTGGGACTTCTTGTTGTTGTTTGTAGTGCTAATATATGCTTATTTTAGATTATTGTTAAAGTATGTTCTTAGGAAAGCTGTAAGTTGGAGTGCTTTCAATTCTTGGCAGATTTATTTCAGAAAATAAAAATTGACACTTTGTTTTAGGCTGCTTCATATAGTCTTTTTTTTTGTTAGGAAAGAGCTAATTTGTCAACTCTTAACTTTAGGGAGTCAGTGCCCTGTTTTCTTAAAATGATGCCTTGAGTTGGTGCTGAAAATGGCTGAAATTAGAGTTTCTAGGGTAGAGCAAGGCCAACCCAAGATTAGAAATGTCCCAATTGCAGTGACCCCTGAAGGTTTTTGGTGTTGTCCATCTCCTGTTGTGTTCCAAAAGACTCTCAAATCTCAAAAGCCTCTAAACAAACCCAAATCCTCCTCACCAGCACCCAAGATTACTGTTCATAAGAATCAAATCCCACTAACTGAGAAGAAGTCAGTGAACACCCCGATAAGGTCAGCAGTTACTTATGATGATCAAAGAACTTCTACTCCTGTTAATCATGGTATTAGTACACCGATTGTTCCGGAGAGAGTGCCAAGGCCTAAGGTGGAACATATGCCTAGGAATGTGGCAATTGAGTACGGTGAACCGGGAACCAGTGATATGAAGGTGATTCTACTTGGGAAGCAAGGTTTTCGTGTGAAATTGAGCGTCCACAAGAAAGTTCTACTGGAGCATAGCTGTTTTTTCACTGATAAACTTTCTGAACAAGAGTCTGATTTGTCTTGCCTTGAAATTGGTGACTGCGAGGATGTAGAAAGTTATGTCGAAACTTTGGGATTGATGTACTGCAAAGAAATGAAGCTGCGTTTAATGAAACAAAGTGTTTCACGTGTGCTCCGTATTCTCAAGGTAATTTGCACATTCAGGCTATGGCCCTTCTATTTTTAGGAGCTGAATCTTGTTATATTGTGCACAACTATTGTCATATCTCTTTGAACTTGATAAATGCATGTGAAAAGACTGTTGTTTCAAGCTCCAATTGAAGGCAGTTCTGCACTCTGTGCCCCATTTGTTATTTTGAGACCCTATATTTCTTACTGGATTTACTCTGCAAACTTCTTACCAATATAATCTATCTATAGCCTTCTTTTCCTCTTATCAATGTGCCTAAATTTTGGTGCATGGGTTGTGTACTTGGATTCTAGCTTACCATATCCTGTGATGTGGTTTGATTAATTTGTTTTTCCAAGTAGACGTTGCTGGATATCTAAGAGTTTGTTTAGTAAAAAAAAAATTCAACATGTGTATTACGTATTTGTTAAATGTCTCTCTTTCTCTATAAGTGAAGCTAGCTAGATGGTGTGTATTAATTAGTTTTGTTCTTTTATGAAACTTTTCTTTCGCATGCATGTCGTGAACTTCTTTGCAGGTTGCTGAGCTCCTTGGCTTTAACTCGTGCATACAATCATGCTTGGAGTACTTGGAAGCAGTTCCTTGGGTTGGCAAAGAGGAAGAAGAAAAGGTGATCTCTTCGGTTTTGCAGCTACACGGTGAAGGTGAAGGTGTCGTGGTCACCCCAGTATTAAAGCGCATCTCTTCTAATGTCTATAATCCCCCCAACGAAACTATTTCTCGCATAATGGAACTTGTTCTTAAAAGCAATGAGGAGAGAGGCCGGCGTGAAATGAAATCTATAGTATTGAAGCTTCTTAGGGAGAATAATAGCCTCCCAAGTTATGCTGGTCCAACTGACATCTGCAATGAAACTGTTTATACTTTGTGCAAAAGCTGCTTGGATTCACTCTTATCTCTGTTCAAACGAGCAGCTGAACCAGAATCAACTGATAAAACCACGGACAGCGAAGAACCTGTGGTGAAACAAATAGCTTTGGAAGCAGATAATCTCACATGGTTGCTTGAGATTTTGGCTGACAGGCAATCAGCAGATGAATTTGCATTAATTTGGGCTAGCCAGCAAGAGTTGGCTACATTACATTCAAAGCTGCCCATTGTGTCTCGATACCCTGTTAACTGCATTACAGCTAGGTTATTTGTTGGAATTGGAAAAGGGGAGCTGTTACCAGTGAAGGACACCCGCCAATTGTTGTTACAAACCTGGTTGCATCCATTGATCAATGACTACAACTGGTTGCAACATGGATGCAGGTCATTTGACCGGAAAGTTGTGGAGGAAGGCATTGGGAGGACGATTCTCACGTTGCCTCTAGAGGATCAGCAGAGTATTCTGGTTGCCTGGTTGGGCAGTTTTCTCAAGGCTGGAAACAACTGTCCAAATCTTCAGAGGGCTTTCGAGGTATGGTGGCGACGAGCTTTCATCAAACCTTATGCAGGCGCCAAAGGCAATGTACTCCACTCTGATAGCTCAGTGACTTCAAAGCAGTAAGACTAAAGAAACAACAAACACAAGTGCAACCATATGTAAATTAATTGGAATAACCTTTTGCCGTATTTCTTCGATACCAAGTGTGCTCTGGCAAGTACCTGTTGCACTATTTCTCAATTACCAAAGAGTTGACGTTGGCGAGTCTCCTTGGATATGGCCTGCTTCAGGTTATGTTTTCTGCTAGAATTTAAATATGTAATGTATGTAACATACTTTGTTTTGATCTAGCAATTCTCAGAAAGATATTCAATTTCAAGATTCGCAGTGTTTTATTGTGAACCTGCAAAGTGTTCAACATCCAATAGTCCAACCAAGGCAAAGATAAAGGCCCAACAGTGATATTATCGTTCAACTTTGCATATCCTTAATTTGTCTGTGCAATTCATATGGTAGTGAGTTTGCGACTTTCGAGAATTTGTATAATTGAATTCCCTGAATCATTCCTTCTTTACTGGCCCACACCACATGCTTCCACACTCATATGCTTCTTCCTTGGCTAGCAAACTAAATCACTAGGCAAAAGTAACTTGATTTCTGGAAATACCCCATCGCATCTTTAGCTGCTAACTGTTATATATATATATATAGGAAATCAAACAAATGTATATGATATTTATTTGGCTGATTACATTTTAATAACTTTTGCTTTTCTAATGTATATTTTACAAGAAAAAAGGGCTGTCACTGTACTACAGCCAAAGAGTTCTTTACACTTCTGTCATTTTCTTGGTTGCCAATCACTAACATTTATGCATACTATTCTTATTACTGTTTCTTTTACTATATTTGTCCCCGAAACTCCATCTTCTATGACACATGATAAATATGTTTTTTTCCATTAAAATTCAAAGACAGATTTCACTATTGACAATGGAATGCAATACGTCAGTTATCTAAAAAATTAAAAATTGTGATACCCTGTCTCTAGTTTACAGGTACCAGGCTAAGGCTGGCCTACAACCCTACATGGGCTAGCGAGAAGTAGCACTGGTGCAGCCTAAGCCTATGAAGAGTTATGACCCTATTCTAATCCCCTGGGTGTATTGCTCACGCCTCAAAAAGTCTTATATCACTTTGATTTATTCTAAAAGTAAATAAAATGTAGTGTAAGTTTTATCATTATTTTACTCTCTTCTTTCACTAATTGTAGTTTAAATTTTTAAATTTATTCATTAAAATTTTGAATTGATCATATTTCAGTCGTTTTGAATTATTTTATTATTATTTTACTACAATGTGATATGTTTTATTATTATTTAATATAAAAATAATTTTAAATATAAAATAAAAACATATGGTGATAGTCCAATATTCGTCGACGTTGGATGCCACCGTTGATTGCTATAGATGGTGGTCATTTGGTCTCAGATTTCATCAGTCGCTTCATCTCGACGCTCTCAGTTTAATTCTAACTTCCATTTTTTTTATCGAAACATGCTCCAAAACTGATCAAAGGTGAGAAAATCAAAACGTCGCCTGCCATCGATACCCTGTGTAACACCCATATACATATATAAGTTTTACGTATACATATACAAATGTTACATCACTTAAAACTCGGTTTACTCATTTTGTAAAGTCTTTAAATTTTTTTGTTTTAACTTAATTTCCACATAAATAAACATAATAAATAAGTATTAATTAAAACACATTACAAAATGTTATGTTAAATTTAATTACATGCCAACAAGTTTACAAAAGGTTTACTACCGTCCTAATGTTATTGATAAGTCAACCTTGGTGAATGATATATGTTGCTACTGCTTCACTCGTTACTTGATTATTTATGATGTTACCTAAGCGCGGAAATACACACGTTAAGTATATCTTCATGAAGCATAATATAGTAAATAAACCCTTGTATATACATAAATATTTTATTCCCAATTATCATAATCAATTGTCACGAATCTTTCTTTTCATTTGTAACCTCCATTCATGATTATAATACACCATTATACACTTTAAACTATAACATTGTTTTCTGTTGATAATGCACCCATAAGAATTTTAATTATAGTGTAATTTTCTGTTGAAAATGTACCCCTATACATTTCAACTATCGTATACTTTTCTGTTGAAAATGTACCCATATACATTTCAACTATAGCATACTTTTCTGTTGATAATGCACCCATATACATTTCAACTTTAGCATATTTTTCTGTTGATAATGCACCCATATGCATTTCAACTATAGCATACTTTTCTGTTGATAATGCACCCATATGCATTTCAACTTTAGTATACTTTTCTGTTAATAATGTACCCATATGCATTTCAACTATAGTATACTTTTCTGTTGATAATGTACTCATATACATTTCAACTATGGCATCCTTTCATGTCAATAATGCACCCATATGCATTATTATTTTCATTTCTTTTAGAGCAATTTATACTCTAAAACTCATACACAATATCCTTTCCACATATTCAATAAAACATAGTAATTACAGTAAAGCATACATTAACATTTAAACAACACATTAAATTATTTCTAATCATTTTCATCTAAATTGAATACAATAAATGTATTCACCTATCTTTCCTCTCTAAGTGTCCAAAAGTAAGGATGATTACTCCGGAACTTTACCCTTGCCCTTAGCCTTACTTGCCTCGGGAGCTTGATTTCGATATATCCCACATTCATTAAATACATGCGTAATATCAATTGTTAGTGTATTTCCTAACAATTATAACTTAAACATTAATCAAAATATTTATTATTAACCTTTCTACAACAATATCAGTCCAACTTAAAATTTATGGCCCTTCAGTATCGATACCCCTACCATGGTATCGATACTACCTTACTTTGATATTGTTGAATCAATATCTATACTTCCCAGCTGATTTAGCCTAATTTGTGCCTATAGTATCGGTACTAATAGAACAGTACCGATACCCCTGCCCAAATTTTCTAGTTTTCAACCCAAAACTTATCCAATTTTGGCCAATTTTCCTCTCATTTACCCCTAACAATACTATGTAACACTTCTCTACTTAACCCTACTAACTTTACTTCATTTAGATACTTAAAACATCTAGCATATCTCAAATGCATTTGATTCTTATAATCACACCAAAAATTCCAACTTATTATTAAACTCATTATAAGATTCTAATCTTTCATTTACCTCATTTACAAGTCAATTTTACCAATAAACATCCATAAACCCTCCTATTCCAACATATCACTCAAAAACCCATTTTCTTTAATATCTAATATCTCATTCATAACTTAGTTTTAATCTCATCTAAACCTTCCTTAAGCTTCCATCATATACAAGGATTTGATAATCAACAAAAATTGAAGGAATAAATCAACTTGAAAGCTTACCTTTTAGCTATGGATGAGCTTGGTTACGGGAAAGAGGAAGAAAAGAGAGAAAGAAAACTTTTTGTAACCTAACCCCCCTTTTCCTCTTTCTTTAATACCCATCAAATACATTTTAAATTCTTTTTCATTTAAAAGACCAAAATGCCCTCTTAATACTCCATTATCACAATTTAGTCTAAATTATTAATCCTAATCCTTCTTATCTTTTATTATTTAAAAGAATCAATCCTCATATTTTTGAATTATTTCAATATAGTCCTTAAATCGGTATTTGGGGCATTACACCCTGAGTCTGAATCCAACCTCTATTTTTTCGGAAATACTCTGAACTCCATGAATAAAAGATCGAAAATAAGGAAACTTAAATATTTCGGTCGAGATTTACTAATTTTGAGATATTTTTCGATGAAACAACCACCAAATTCATATTCAGAGTGTCAAATCGAGTCTCTTGGTACAATTTGGGATCAAATAATTATCGATTCCGAAGGTCGACAATGACAAGAAAGGGTGATGATGATGCTATATATGGTGTAGAAGTGAAAATATTATTTTATTATTTAATTTAAATTATTTTTATATTTTAATAATAATAAATGTCTCGTCGTAGAATAATAATAATAAAATAATTTATAGTGACCAAAATAGGAGCAATTTGAAATTTTAGTGAATAAATTAAAGAATTGAAATTACAATGAGTGAAACATGAGAAAAGAGTAAAATTTAATGAGAAATAATGTAATTTACCCCAAAAAAGTACCCCAATACCCAAAAAATGATGGCGAGATCTGGAGAGTCATGGTAGGTGGACGGTTCTTGATATGGCACACTACAGCGTGTCTTGTGCACTGCCACTTTGTGCTAAATGCTGATGCACCCTTTTATAGAGGGGTTATTTGTTTTTCATTTATTTATGTTTTTCTAAGCCATATATGAAAATTGAAAGCATTCATACAAACTTTTCGTCTGTTTCCTTTGGCATTGAATAAGTAAATTTATATGCCCTAAAGAAGACAAATAAAGCATTGTGGAGAGGTAGTACTTGGCGGCACTGTGTGGCGACCCATTGAATTGTCCTGTAAAAGAAGGTTCGAGAATTGAGCCTACTGAAAGCCCGAATCATTAGGTGATATTGATTGAGTCCTCAGACAATATATGTAAATATCCTCTCCCTCTCCAACGTCTAAGAAAGTAACGTTTACCAGGCATTGAATGTAAGGTAAAAAAAAACCCAAAACAAAAGAAAATGATAAGCACTCATTTAAGAATCATCATAGATTCAATCAGCCTCAGCTAAATGCTCTTACATCAGTGGAAAAACAAAGTCAATGCCCTGCTGTTGCACTTGTTTTCTTTTTCATGGTATACTTTGCAGGGTTAATTGTCACAGGTTTGCTTCAAAGGCATTCCATAAATTGAACAAAACTGACTAAAATATTCCTTAATGGATCTTCCAAATGTGGTTGAATTCATTGTTTTTATTATTTATTTTTTTACGTATAATACTTTGTTTCTAATCATTTCTCTCTCCCTTGAATCAAGAAAATGGAAACCATAGCTGAAAGTGACATTGCTTTGCGATACCTGTCTTGTATGTGACAGTAAAACGTTTTTAAGGGACTGATAAGGTTTTTGTATTTTTGCAGGTTTAGATAGTTATTTTAGGGCAAAATCAATGAGTAATGCTCTCGAAGTTTTTATTTCACGAGATAATGCAGTGCTCAGATTAATTGCTCAAATGGGGTAAATTCTACAGTGATGGCAGTAGGTCGCCATGTCATCCGGACGACCTACGACGTGGCAACATCCAGACAGACCATCATAGGTCGCTATGCACGCCCGGTGTCCTTATAGATCGCCATGCACGCCCGACGTCTAACGTTCTCGTGATTCTCTTTCCTGTGCATGGGCCATGCACGTGGGGTGTAGGTCA